TCCTTCCTTCCTTCCTTCCTTCCTTCCTTCCTTCCTTCCTTCCTTCCTTCCTCTCTAGGGCTCGCTTACTTGGCCTTTTCCCCTTGTTACGTCGATCCAAGAGGCTAAACTAAGCTAATTGTCACAGAGGGTTTACATAAAACATAAACTAACATATAGAAACATTAGGCCAACCTACCCAGACCCAAATTTGAATCTACAGTTTAGACTAAAGCAATTTCAAGGCAGGCATGGTGGCACACGACTTTAATCCCAACACTCCGGAGGTAGAGGCAGGGGGATCTCTGAGTTTGAGGCCGGCCTCGTCTACGGAGAGAGTTCTAGAATGGTCAGGGCTACACAGAGTAGCCCTTTGTCTTGAAAACAACAACAAAAACCAGTTTCAAATGGGCCCAAGAGATGGCTCAGTGGGTAAAGGTGCTCGCTGACGAGTCTATTAAGTTTGATCCCTGGGATCCACACGGTGGAAGAAGATGAACAAGCCCCACAAGTTATCCTCCAATCCCCACAGGTGTGTACCTACTCACACCCATGAAAAGTGTAATAATAAACATTTTAAAAGCACTTTAGGAAGTTTCAATTGTGCCAAATATTGCAAGGGTAAAAAAAAAAAAAACCACCATGATTTTGTATGTATTTATGCATGTATTTAATAGTATAGATATTACCATATATTGACTATCAATAGATGCTTATTTAATAAAAATATGGAAAAAACACACAGGAATGAATCCAGGCATGATGGCGCAGCCTCTAATACTACTAGCATATGGAGGTAGGAGGATCAGGAGTTCAAGGGCATCCTCCGCTTACTTTGAGGCTAGCCTGGGCTACCTGAGACCCTGTCTCAAACAAAAAAGCACAGGAGAAATATAGACTGCCTTACAAAGTGTTTGCCTCTGGGTGATTGGGAGAGAGGGGAAAATAAACTAAGGGTAGATATGGATGGGACTGTATCTCAGCGGGAGAGTGCTTGCCTAATGTGTGTGAAGCCCCGAGTTTAAGTCTCAATGCTGCAAAAAAGAAAATTTAAAACTAAAAAGAGTGGGAGAAGGAGGAGAAGGAGGAGATGTCACAGTCTAGACAACGTCAGGCTATGTGTTTCCATTTATATTTTTATTTTTTATTATGATTGAATTACTGTGAAATTAAAAAGTTTAAAAGAGGGCCAAGCATTATGGCACATGCTTTTAATCACAGTATTTGGTAGGCAGAGGAAGGTGGATCTTTGTGAGTTCAAGGCCAGCCTACTCCGCATAGCAAATTCCAGGCCAGCCAGGGCTACATAGTGAGAACCTGTTTCAACAATCAAACAATGACAAAGATTAAAAAAAAAAATTCAAACACCAAAAATCATAAAAAAGAGAAAGTTATCCAAAAGCTGCTCATGAGCTAAGGATATTTGTATAGATAATCCAAATGTTCGCACTTTCATTCCTTCCTATATTAAAACAATGCCTTGCAAACCAGAGTGACGGAACTTTGGAAGCAAAGCATGTGCGTTGTGTGTATGTATCTCTTTGTCTCTCTGCGTGTCTGTCTGTGTACCTATGTGTGTGTGTGTATCTGTGTTTCTGTGTCTGTGTGCATCTCTGTGTATGTGTGTGGGGATATGTTCTCTACGCAGCTCAGGTTGACCTCAAATTCACAGTCTTCTGCTTCTGCCTCCTGTGTGTTGGATTCCAGGTGTCACTCACCCCAGCTGGCTTCATGTTCGTATTTACACACGTGGTCATTCAGGGTCACTGAAACAAAGAAGTCCATGTTAGAGAAACCTTACAATGATGAATTAAATAATCAGATTGTGGTCTCTAACTGACAGCATACCCATAATAAACTCAGGGATATCTTACCCTTCTAATACCACTCACCCTTCCTCTACCTGTGGGGCTGGAAAGGCTCCAAATGCCCAGATTTCAGCTGAAATCAGGGTACATTTTGTTTGTTTTTGGCGACAGGGTTTGTTTGTGTAGCCTTGGCTGTCCTCAAACTCAGAGTGATCCACCTTCCTCTTTTCCCAAGTGCTGGGATTAAAGGCATGAGCCACCACTGCCCAGCTCCAGGTTCCATCATATATATACACACATACGTATACATAAAATGTATATATATAAAATTGTACATATATATTATCTTGTTTTATGTGTGTGTCTGAATGTATATATGCAGGAGCCCATGGATTCTCTGGAACTGAAGTTACAGGAGCTGCCAGCCATCATGTAGATGCTGTGAATGGAACCCAGGTCCTCTGTAAGAGGAAGAAGTGTAAGGCATATCTCCAGCCCCCAGGGTGCATTTTTCAGGGATCTGTTTCTTTGGTGTCAGGCCAGGCTGGGAGGAATGAACCCCTGGAAGAAACTGAACCCTAGGGCTGAACTGTTGATATGGGGGAGAATTTTCCTGTAGGCAGATTCCCAGGAGTACTGTAGCTGGGTCATTTGGTTGTTCTGTTTTTAGTACTTCTGAGAAACCTCCATACTATATTACTTCCTGCTGGCAAATCCGCTAGTGGCCATGTTAGTTCACACTCCCACCAACAGTATATAATAGGGCTCATCCCATTGTCTGCTTTAAAAAAAAAATTTCACGGTTTTCTGATATCTTATCACTTACCTAGAGCCTCCTCCTGCCTTGGGAGATTAGAATGGCTGGTTTTGAGAGAGAGGGAATGGAGGGGAGGGGGAGATGAGTGAGGGAATGTAAATGGAACATGGAAGTATAGAATATGAAGACCTGAGGGAGAGGGAGGTGAGGCAGAAACAGGTGGGGGCAGGTAGGGCTGAGCATAGCAATTGGTGACATTTAAATGGAGTCTCAGAAGAATGGAGTGGGAAGGAAGTGGGGTGAGAGGCTTGCCAAGGACTGTGCATTCATCTACCTCTTGGGGGGCTCTTCATGTGATGAACCTATAAAACATACCAGGAAGAAGATTTTACATATAATATGTGTCTATGTAAAAACGTTTGTGTGTGTGTGTGTGTGTGTGTGTGTGTGTGTGTGTGTGTGTGTGCGCGTGCATGTATGACAGGGTGTCATTATGTAGCTTTGGCTGACCTGGAACTGATTGTGTAGACCAGGCAGGCCTTGAACTCACAGAGCTCCGCCTGCCTCTGCCTCCTAAGAGCTGGGATTAAAGGCGTGCCCACATCCTACTAGAATTTTGCTCTTGCCTCTCCCCCCCAAGCATGGATAGCTCCGAACTCACCTTGCTGAGTGCGTCTGTAGATAAAGAAGATGGAGACAAAGAGCAGAGAGATGCAGAGGCAGCTGAAGGTGGCAAGGAAGATGAGCTTGCTGTTTGATGGTCTGGGGGGATCTCCTCCACCTCCTCCCACTCCATCTGTACGGCGGAGACAGAAAGGGCAGCTGCATCGTGAGATGATCCCGAGAGCACATGTCGGTCTAGCTGAAGAGGTCCAGACAGAGCCCTGCACACAGGAAATTCCACGTGCGCATCTCACTCACAGCCGTACACTGGATCACTTATTGAGAACTGAGTCACGGCATCAGTTCGCTTCCCCCAGACAGTTTAGCACAACGGTTAAGAGGCTCCAGACACACTAGGCGTGGTGGCACACTCCTAGAATCCCAGCATTCCAGTCAGAGGTGGGAGGATTTGGAGTTCGAGCCCAGTCTTAGCGATAAGTTCCAGGCTAGCCTCAAGTGTGTAGTGAAATCCTGCCTGAAAATAGAAACAAAACAAAAGCCAGGAGCCAGAAAGCCGTTACCAGAATGGTAGCACTGTCTTGGGGAGCTGTGGGACCTTTTGGACAAGGGGTCTAGCCAGCTCAAGCAGGGCCGTGGAGTGGGGGCAGTTAGAAGGTTACAATCCAGTCCTGCTTCTTTCTTTTTAAAAATAATTTATTTACTTTTATTTCATTTGCATTGGTATTTCGCCTGCGTGTATGTCTGTGTGAGGGTGCCAGATCTTGGAGTTAGAGGCAGTTGTGAGCTGCCATGTGGGCACTGGGAATTGAACCCGAGTCCTCTGGAAGAGCAGTCAGTGCTCTTAACTGCTGAGCCATCTTTCCAGCCCCAAGTACGACTTCTTTCGGACCCAGCTTCTCTGCTTTCTGGTCCATCAAGATATGAAAAATTTAGGTTTCCTGCTAGATGTTTTGGCATCCATTTGTTTTTTTTTTTTTTTTTTTTTTTTTTTTTTTTTTTTTTTTTTTTTTGAGACAGGGTCTCATCATGTACCCCTGGCTGACTTGGAACTCACAGAGATGTACCTGCCTCCCCAGATGATTAAAGGCAGGTATCACCACATTTTGAGTACCCAAGTTGGTAATTCATTCTCTCTCTCCCTCTTCCTCTATCCCCCCTCTCACTATTTATTACTTAATAAACTCACTTATTTAAAACAGAAAAATATAGCTATCATAGATCATTCTCCAGAATGCCCTGAATAAAAAGATTGGAAGTTTTCATTTATAATGTGATCCATTTGTAGGACTCTAATGTACAGTGTGGGTGTTGAGGGATGTATTCAATTTGTAATAACCATTACACAATGTGCATCTTGAGTCCAATCTTTGCCAATTAAGTGATTTTTTTTTTTAAATAAAAGAGAAAGCATTCCACTATCTAAAACACAGTTGTCTTAGTTAGGGTTTTTATTGCTGTGACGAGACACTATGACCACAGCAATTCTTTTTTTCTGAAATTTTTATTCATTTTACATACCAACCACAGATCCCCCACTCATCCTTTCTTCTGCTCTCCCCAGCCTCCTCCCGACCCAAAAGGGTAAGGCCTCCCGTGGGGAGTCAGCAGAGCCTGGTACATTCAGTTGAGGCAGGACCAAGCCCCTCCCCACTGCATCAAGGCTGAGCAAGGCTTCCCACCATAGGTAATGGGCTCCAGAAAGTCAGCTCATGCACCAAGGATAGATCCTGATCCCACTGCCAGGGGCCCCTCAAAGAAAACAAGCCACACAACTGTCTCCCATATGGGCCTAGTCCAGTCCCATGCAGGTTCCACAGCTGTTGGTCTAAAGTTCATGAGTTCCACTAGCTTGGTTCAGTTGTCTCTGTAGATTTCCCCATCATGATCTTGACCCTCCTTGCTCAAATAATCCCTATTCCCTCTCTTTGACTGGATTCCCAGAGCTCCACCTGGTGCTTGCCTGTGGATCTCTGCATCTGCTTCCATCAGTTACTGGATGAAGGCTCTATGATGACAGTTAGGGTATTCACCGATCTGATTTCTGGAGTAGGCCAGTTCAGGCCTCCTCTCCCCTATTGCTAGTGATCTAAAGACCGCAGCAACTCTTATAAAGGAAACCCTTTAATTGAGGAGGCTCACTTACAGTTTCAGAGGTTCAGTCCATGTCATCATGAAGGGGAGCGTGGCTGTGTGTAGGCACACATGGTCCTGGAGCTGAAAGTGCTACATCTTGCAGACGACAGGAAGTCAAGTGAGGGAAGCTTGTCACACTGAGGGAAGCTTGAGCAAGAGAGACCTCAAAGCCTGTGCCCACTGTGACACACTTCCTCAAAGAAGGCCACACCCCTTCTAGTGTCACTCCTTTTGGGGGCCATTTTATTTCAAACCACCACACACAGTAGCTAATATCATCATCGTTCATCCTCCAAACCCACTTCCAAAATCCTGAAACCCTTACAGCATATAAATCAATCACTTTGTTCTCTCGTTCCAATGCTGCCAGTGGAGTCTTGTTCTGGTTGACAGAATCCATGATCAGTTTAAACACCTGTGATGATTAGTTTTAATTGACAACTTGACACGACCTAGAATCACCTAGGAAGAGAGTATTGTGGTCCTGTCCAGATCATGTTGGCCTGTGGGCATGGGGTGGGAGATGGACTCGATTAGGTTTACAGGTAAGGGATGACCCAGCCTGAAGTGGGCGATGCCATTCGTTATGTTTGGGTCCTGAACTGTGTAAGGGTAGAGAAGAGGAGCTGGGCGGTAGCCTTGGGTGTGTTCTTTCCCTCTCTGCTCTTGACTGTAGAGCTGTGAGTTCTCGGCTGTGGACGCAACTAGCGGTCTCAAGTCCCAGCCTTGATTTCCTTCAAGGATGGGCTGAAACCTGAAGTTTTATTAAACTCTTTCTTCCACAAGCTTTTTTTTTTTTTTGGTGATGGTATTTTATCATAGTCATAGGAATGAAACTTGGACAGGACCCAAGCTCTACGTTCTGCCTTTCACCTTCTTCTCTTATCTTCTTCCTCTTTCTCTGTTCTCTTTTCTACCTCATTCCTCCATTCCAGAGACACACTTTTTTTTTTTTTAAAAAAAAGATGTATTTATTTATTATGTATACAGTGTTCTGTTTGCATGTATCCCTGCAGGCCAGAAGAGGGCGCCAGGTCTCATTACAGATGGTTGTGAGCCACCCTGTGGTTGCTGGGAATTGAACTCAGGTCCTCTGGAAGAGCAGTCGGTGCTCTCAACCTCTGAGCCATCTCTCCATTCCAGAGACACACTTTTTGACATTGGCTCTTCCTGTTCTCTCCCCCACAAAGGCTTTTCCTCAGATGGCAGTGTGATGGGGCATTTCTCCGCCCCCCCCCCCCAGAACTGTGATGGACAGCCTCCCAGTAGCCTCACAAGCTTCCTTCAGATATCCACACTCCTGTGTCCTCCTCTGCCCTTGAGTGCAGTGTGACTGGGCATTTCTCCCCCCCAGAACTGTGATGGACAGCATCCCGGTAGCCTCGCGAGCCTCCCTCCCTCCCTCCTTCTGATATCCACACTCCTGTGTCCTCCTCTGCCCTTGAGTACAGACAGATACTCAGGCCTTGCTTCTGACCAAAAAACATGCAAATACAGCAGGGGTGTGAGTGTCACCCCTACAACAGCATGCTGTTATCCAAGAACCCCCACTTAAACCAGTGCAAAAGAGGATATTCTTCCCCAGTCCAACTTCTAGAAGCAAACACAACCTTGAAAATTTGTGAGACCCAAAGCGGAGAACTCAACTAAGCCTCTCTGTCCCCAGACCCACACAAACTGTAATACAAATAAATGGATGCTTAATGGGGCTACGGATGTGGTTCTGTGGGTTGATTCATTGCCTACCGTGCACAAAGCCCTGGGTTTGATCCCCAGGTACCACGTAAACTGGGTGAGGGGGTCCTTGCCTATGATCTTAGTCCTTGAGAGGTGGAGGGAAAAGGATTAGCAAATCAAGGTTGTCCTTGACTATGTTAGGAGTTCAAGGCTAGCCTCGTCTACAGGAGACCTTGTCTAAAAAAAAAAAAAAAAGGATGTTTTGAGATTCTAAATTCATGGTTATTTCCTATGCAGCTATAGACTACCAACCATGATCACTCACTATCTATGATTTTCTTCTTGGGATTTCATTTCTGACTGTCCTGTTCCTGAGTATTTCTATCATGGATGCTCCAACCATGTGCCCACTGCCTTGAAATCAATTACACATTATAGCCCTAATAGATTTTACTTCACAGGCATTAGAACTTCATGTACCCACATTTAGCTCTAAAAACCCAGTGATAAGTTGCTGCTTCCAAGCTGAGTCCTCTGGATCATCATATATTTATCTTCTGATTTACTGACCTTACTGTACATCAGATTTTCTACTAATTCACTCTACTGAGACATTCATCTATGACCATATCATTGAGATCAATTTAGAATCACTAGCCAGACCTCATTCCCTGCACTCAGCTATCACTTCCCCAGTCCCCTCTGAGTTATTGCATCTTTATTGCTTCCTGGAGTCTCCAGCCAAGTCCCATCAGAAAAGAAGGAACATGTCCATAAAGGAACTGATCTGACCATTTGGGAAGAGGGTGAGTGGGAAGGGAACTTAGCGAGTGGTCAATAAAGCTAAGCAATGATAGACTTGAAAGAAAATGTCATTAAACCTATCATTTTGTATAAGAGATGTACAATAATACAAATTTGACTGAAAAATCAGAGCAAGGCATGGTGGACATCTATAATCCCAGCACTTAGGAGGGGGAGACAAGAGCATCAGGAGTTCAAGGCCATTCTCCACTATATAGCAAGTTCAAGGCTTGGCTACATAATGAGTTAAAGGACAGCCTGGAACATGGCCAACTTTGTCATCATCATCAGTTACAAATATAATCAATGATATCTATTTATTAATTATAATAACAATCATCATAATACTAAGAAGATGAAGTTACAAATATAATTAGTAATATATATACAAGTTATATAAAATTATAAAATATAATCATAACTAATTATATTTGTAATTATTATAGCATTATTTTAAAGCTCAAAAAGTAAGGCTGGGGAAATGACTTAGTGGGTAACGGAACAAGTATTAAGGACCTGAGTTCAGATACCCAGAACCCATCTAAAGCTGGATTGGTGCATCTGGTAGTACTGGTCATCCAGTACTCCCTCAGAGAGTTGGGAGGTGGAGACAGAAAAACCTCTGAAACCTCTCAAGCCAGCTAGTCTGGAGGATACAGCAACAATACAAAAAAGAGACCCTGCCTCAAACAAGGCAGGAAATGAAGACCATCATCTGATGGTCATATGTATGCCTTGGCACCCTTGCGCGCACGCGCACATGCGCGCGCACGCGAGCTCACACACACACACACACACACACACACACACACACACCATATGCACCACAAAAAGATTTTTAGAAGTCCAGGGAGTGGAGTGGAGGGTTGGCTGGATGGTAAAGGTGTTTGCTGTTAAGTGTAACAACCTGAGTTTGATCCCCAGACCCATGCAGTGGCAGGAGAGAAGCGAGCCTCACAACTTGTCTTCTGACCTCTTCACACAGGCTGTGGTATGTATGTGTACATCCATACACACCCGACAAGTAAATAATTACCATTTTAAAGCATATGAGGAGAAGATCTGAGGCTGCTCCGCTCACCTGTGACCACCAGCTGTAAGTGCTGACTCTGTCTTGACCACCGGTGGGAGGTTGCTGTCCTGTAGGCACAGAAATACCCACCAGCATCTTCAGGCTGCAGGTTAGTGAGGTGGAACTCAGCCTCCTTTCCTGCTGACCTCAGCTCTTGCTGGTACCCAGAGTTGTGTAACTTTCCCAGAGTGACTGTAACATTCTGGAAATGAGTCCAGCATCGAAGAGTGACGTTACTCTTGCACTTGACCACAGAGCTGGGCCAGGCGCTGATGGAAGGTCTGGGAAGTTCCTCTGGAAAGAATTCAGAATTAATTAACTCTTCATCACAGTGAGCCTCTCCTAAAATTCTGAAGGATCAAAGGTATGATGGTTAATCTCAATTATAACTCGATGAAATCTATAATCACCTGACTTTTTACCCATGCTTATGAGAGGTTGTCTTGATTAGCTCAGTTGACATGTAAAGACACATTCCCTATGGGTGGCACCATTCCCTAGGCTGTGGTCCCACACTGTGTAAAATGGAGAGGGCTAGCAGAAAGGCTCAGCTGGTAAAAGTTCTCACTGCCAAGCCTGACAACCTGAATTTGATCCCTGAGATCACATCGGTGAGAGGAGAAAACTGACTCGAAATCCCCAGACCTCCATGCACATGCTGTGATATATCCACATCCCACAAACCCATATACAAATGTAAATGCAAGAATATCATTTTTAAGGAGAAAGTGAGCTGAGCATAAGGATTCATGGCTCTCTTATTCTTCAATATCCTTTCTCAAGGTTGGAGCGATGGCTCTGTGGCTAAGAGCATTCCAGAAGACCCATGCAGGTGTCTCATGACCACCTGTTTCTCTAGTTTCAGATTTCTGACACCTGTGGGTCCCAGATTCATATACACAAACACACATGCATACCCATGGTTAAAAATGTTTTTAAATTTTTTTTTTAATTTTAGGACTGGAGGGATGGGTCATGGTTAAGAGCACTGGTTGCTCTTGCAGAGGACCCAGGTTAGGGTCAGGCACCTTCCCAACAGTTCACGATTGCCTGTTAACTCCAGTTCCAAGGGGGAATCCAATGCCCTCTTCTGGCTTCTTTTGGTACTGCACACACATGATACATCCACATATATGCACAGAAACACTCATATACATAAAAGATTTTTTTTTAATTTAAAATAAAATTTTATTGTGTGTGTGCACAAAGTGAGTAGGTGTCATGGTGTATATGTGGATGTCAGAGGACAACTTTTTTGAGTTGATTCTCTCCTTCCACTATGTGGGTTCCAGGTTGTCGATCTTGGCAGCAACTGCCTTTATTCGCTGAGCCATCTCATCTGCCCATCTCTTCTTCTTGAGCATGAATGCAATGTGACCAGTTACCTCAAGCTCCTGTTGCTGTGACTTCCCCACCAGTATGGGCTGCAATCTCAAACAGTAAGCTGAAACCAACAGTAAGCAATTTCTCCCGTAAGTTGCTTTATCAAGGATTTATCACAGCAACAGGAAAAGTAGCTACTGTAGGGTAAAAAGTCCAAGCTCACTTCTGGGTTTCAGAAAGCCACCGATCCCTGAGCTCAGAAACCAACCAACTCTGAGTTTAGAAACCCACAAATTCTTGAGTTCACCCCAAGCTCAGGACTTGAAGTCCCATGAATCAAGTCCCATGAATCCCAACCCTGGAAATCATCCTGGAAG